CCAGGGGCTCAAATCATACTAAGGATCCCCCTGAGCTGAGGCCAAAGGAAAAGTCAAGCAAAGCACCAAAAAAAACCTGTTTTGAAAATCATTAAGACACTGAAAATTGTGCTGCTTTTACCACCACTGCCTCTGCTCCTTGTGTTTGGGAAGGATCCACTTAGCCTGTTAACTGCTTGGAGTATCTCTTCAGTGATGTGCAATAGTCTCTAAGCTATAACAAAACTCTCTTTAAACTGAAATTAAAATGCTTCTGACCTGGATGGAAAATACCATCCCAGCCCCATGGCATGACTGTTAAAGCTCCTCTCATGCACAGCCATCTCCAAATGTGTGAGTCACTTCGATAATTCAGCATCACCAACAGCTTCAGAAAGTATCATACACATCATAGCAATGTACCTGGACACCCATGGAGCACATGAGAGGATTTGGACACTGAAGAGGAAAGACCCACATCACTTGCTGTTAGAGAAATGCTCTGCTACATTCACAGCTCAGAGGATCCACTGAAAACCCACAGGTCTGTGAATGACACTGCCCTTTCAGCTGCATTCAGGGGAAGGAGCATTTGTGAATCAGCAAGAAAATATGTGATTTAAATCCTCCTATTTTCCTTCAGAAAAATGAAGCCTTCCCTTAGGGTGATAGGATGAAATTGCCTCCCCTTTTCCGGACACGTGTCTTTTCTTCCCATCGGCTAGAGGTCCCAGGTGAGACTCACCCAGAAAGAGGTGGCTTGTTCTGAGCTATTGGCTAAATCTGCACTGGGACTGTACAGTCTTCCTAGCCTGGGTCTCAGCACAGCTTGTTCCTGAAGTTCAACTGCCTAGTCTCAGCTCTTGAATAGATTATAGTTTAAAATGCAACTTTATAAAGTCTGTTATTAAGCTGTGTACTATGGTGATGGTATTTGTGGAAATGGCACTCAGGGAGTAAATGTGGATCAGGAGAGACTTTCCTAAGGCCTAGTGAATTCCAGGATCCTGCATTGGGTGATTCCATCTTCCCACCTTAAAAGGGATTTGGCTGTACATCTGATTTTAGAAGTCCTGGCTTTGTTTGGATAATACACAAAAAACAGTCAAGAGTAAACATTGAAAACTGCTGGTTTCACTCTATGGAAAATTCAACATTGTCCTCTTTGTACAACTAGTAATTTAAAACTTCAATCACCAAGAATACAGGAGAAAAAAACCCAGAATGAGTACCAATCTTTGAAAGAAATTGAAGGACACTTTTGTTAAAAAAATATTTATTTTTTAGAAATATAATTCTCTTATTCATTATACAACATTAAAGGAATCAGAAAACTTTACTCATGGGAAAAGAACATCTTACAACTTGATTTTATAAAAGTTGAAGTGAAAAATTCATTACTTCCAGTGTTAGTTTTCTGCAAAACATACAAATAATCACACCATTTAATTTTAGGAATGCCCTTGCCATCTAAAAAAATAATAAAATTGGTATCAATAATCACTGCTGGAAGAAACAGACTATAAGAAGGTACTCCACAGAGTTGCTTTTGCAAGGAAAGGTTAATACAAGCTCTCAAGAAGGTGCACACCTCCTATTAATAGCTTCCACAAAATAAAAATAGCACTGCTTCTTTGGCCTATAGCCCAGTGGATTTCTGTCATTCTTCCTCATCAGATTTATTGCTCGTTTAACCCTTCTTCCCATCTGCAGTCTTTCCCTTGCCAGTCACAAATTTTATGTAATTTAAAATATTTATTTTTCACTTGGCAAATGCTCAGTATTACAGAATTTAACAGGAATTGTCTGTGTAGAAAGAAAACACAGTTCTAAGAAAAAACCCCAAACAACCCAGACAGCTACGTTCACTGAGGAAAACATGGATAATCCTTGACAGGATTTTAACAAGATCTAGGATTAATTTTGGGGTGACCCATTAGAGACTTTGCAAATGAACCCGATTTTCAGCTGGAATGAACAGCTGCTGTCTGGGGAAAAAAACCAAACAAACCCCACATAACATAAACCAAAACAAGCACTTGCTTATTTAAAAGTGCAAATAAACCTCTCTACCATCAGTGTTTATTTCAAAAGGTGCCAGCCAAATATTAACAAGAAAGTGTGCAGAAATAAGAAAGCACCAATGCCACAGTCATCTGTACAGTAGTAATAAATTCTGACATTCATAACAATATATTTATTCTCACATAGGTCAATTTTTAAATTAAAACTGGTTCCCTTGCACCAAATATAAAAGAACAACTGGAATGAAGTTCACATGGCTATTTTTGTTTAAAAAGAAAAAATATTATGTTTGGATTTATGGACATACCAGACCTAAAACATCCTCTGTGCAGCTGTATCAGCCACTGTGGTATACTTTGGAATCAGGGTTTGCTAGCACTCATCTAGGAAAATAATTATTCCAGAAGAGTTATTCCAGTTAACTCCTAAGCTCTTATTCCAGACTCCACTGTCAGCAAATCCACTTGACAAGCAAGTCCTGCAGCAAGGAACCAGCAGGGCTCACCTTCCTCCTGCTTTTCTACACTACTTTCTTCCCCTGGGATTTATTTTCACCCTTTGGTGTTTGTGCTGATAGTTAAGCCTGCCTGTAGCCATGAAACAGACAGGAGCCAGATGGATAAAAGATGGATAACCAGCCATCCCAGTTGTCAAACCAGAGCAGTCAAGGTAGTTGTGTCTCTTCTGCCCTTGAGCTTTTGAGAAAGCTACACCACCACAGCTCCCCTCCTTCCCCAGGTAAAAGCCAAGTGATGCTCGTCAGTTCAGCTCAGTCACACTCAGGTGAAATGCAGCTTCTCTGGACCACCTGCAGTGGAGAGGGTGTCTGCCAAAAATCACAGCCAGTCCCTGAGAATGTAGCCTTTTCCTGCCACGAGGTCATGTTCTCCCAGGCACCGTTTGCCCAGGGACTGCTGATGAGTGACAGGCTCTCTAGAGCTTGCTCAGGGCATTAGCAGAGGCAACAATTCTGATTTCTGTATTCAGATAAGCATTATGCTGAAAGGCAACAACTTGAGAACCTGGACACACAGGCTGCCCAGACCTGCCCACCTTGCTTCACCTGCTTCCAGACTGTAGCACCTTGTTGTTCCTGGATTTGCATCTCCATCACTAGGATCCAGCAGATCCCTGTGCAAGGAAGGATTTGAAGCCAATGCCTATTGTCCACTTTCCTAAAAGGAAGTCTCCCTCTTCCCCTGTCCTACAGATTCCCAGGTCCCTAAGGGCTCACCAGTCTCTCAGGTCCAGCTCCTGAGTATCCTGTTTTTCCGTTGTGAGGCTGTGAAGGGTGGCTAAGCCTGGCACAGCCTCAGACCAGCCCTGCTGAAAGAAGAGCACACAACTTTCTACTGCTGCTTGGGGTCCTGGCGCCACCTCCTGTCAGCATCGGAGGCCCCTGCCCAACACTAGCTCTCTGGGTCACCTCAGACCCACCATCTTCCCCTAGACACCCCCAACACAGCTATTTCTCTGCAGAAGCAGGGCCAGCATTCATAGGAAGAAGAGAAAAACCGCCTTGAAAGCGGTCTCTGTTCCTGTGCAGAATCCTCCCTGCTAGCAGCCAGTACCACATCTATGTTCTGGCTTCTTGCTGTGGCCATCCTGGTGCCACCCCAGGTGCAGGGGTTTGTCTCTAGCTTCCATGTGGACCATCAGCCCACATCTTCCCACCGTGTGCTGTTTTGATTTCTTTATCAAAAGCTGCACTCTGGTGCAGTGCTGTGGGAAACTACCCATGAGAAGTGACAGCATTTGGGGGAATCATGAAAGCAGAGAGACACCTATTGTGCATGGCAGCAGTCTAGGAAGGGGAGAATTAGAAAGGGGAGAGGAGAGTCTCTAGGTAAGACTGGATGTCCTGCCAACACAGAGATGCAATTTGCTAGTACTGTGTGCCCAAGAGATATGTACAGAGAAAATTCCCTCCCCATCTAATCAGTGTCCTTGAGTTCAAATGCCCCTATACCATCTGCAGACATTGTAACTACCTTAATGTGTGCTGTAACGATGGATATGTTGGTAGGGTATAAAGCTGCCTCCCTTGGAAATTTTATAAGCCATTGAATGAGACTGCAAGCTCCAATTCTGAGGACAGAGAAAAGTTCCTCTCAGAGAATGAGACAAAGACAGTTAAAGAAAACATTTCTTTGCTGGCTAAACCCAAACAACTCCTCTGAACATCAAGCTCTTCCCTCAATAATTATTGCACTGCAGGCAAATAACAGCACTGCCATATTCCTCACCCTGTTCCCATTATTTTAACAGCCTAAATCACAATGTGTCTTCCTTCTCCATCCCCCATGGTCTCAGATATCCACTTAATGAAAGCAGCAAATTACTGCTTTAAACCCAGCCTCTGCTGCTGGGCAATTTGCAAAGACTCAGGACTGCAGTGAGCTCACGAATCAGTGTCAGCATTTAGGGGCCACATGCCACAAAAGCAAAGGGGTGTCTGTGCTTCCAGGAGAGCACAGCCATGGCTGCCTGACACCAGGAAGTGAGACTTCAGACCCACGTGCACTGAACCTTCATTTTACAGAGACAATTACACCATCACAGCCAGACTGAGCAGGGCAGAGGATGAACATGTTATTACTGTCTTTTAGCCTGAGAATCAAAAAATATATATATTAAAAAAATATGGCAGGTACTTAATTTAACAAGTCTCCTGTAATGCCTGCGAGGTAGTTAAATGCTAATAACCACAAAGGCCTGATAGGGAAAACTGAGGTGCTTCAAGGTGAGGTAATGTATCTAAAGTCACAGTCAGAATCCCCAGCACAGCCAGAAACACTGTGCTGGGCTCTTGGCTCCTGTTTAGCTCTGAACACTGAGCCGTGCTTCTCTCCGGGCTCAAATGTCAGAGGCACTGCAAGCCATGGACTTCCCAGAAGGTTAGAGGAGTCTGTCAGATAAAGCTACTGCTGGCAACAGAAAAACATGGACATTATGTAGGAAAATCCAGGCTGTAAGGGCAGCACACTGTGAAGGCATCACCCAAGCAGAGCTTCATAATCCATGTACCACACCAGCTGGCCAGAGCTGGGGCTGACACCCGAGATAGGCCATTTCCTTGGCTCATGGCCCACTCTGCTGAGCAGGGTGGTGATGTCATGCTTACCCTTCCCCAAAACCAGGACAAACACCTGCTTGGCCTTATTGATGAGGTGTAGGCTAAGGCTCATCCTTTGGTGAGGTTTGACAGGGCTTTCAGTCAGCACCACAGTCTGAGCCCCTTCCAAGCCACTTTCAGAGTGAGGGAAGAGTGAGGCAGTGTGTCCATCAGTGCCCACCCCCAGCAGCACCAGGTCAAAGCTGGCATTGGCCACCAGGGCCATGATCTCCTTGGCATACAGCTCGGTGCCTCTGTCCTCTTCCACGCAGAGCCGCTGGTTCAGGTGCACAGGCATGGGGTGGACATTGAAGTAGGGCACCCGGACACTCTGGAGGAGGTGCTTGTGCAAGGTGAAGAAGTTGGACGTGGTGTCAGTGAAAGGGACACAGCGTTCATCCACCAGCCAGATGTGGGTGTGCTTCCACGGGAAGGCATAATGGTGTCTTGCCAGCCGCTGGAATAGGACCACTGGGCTTGAGCCACCTGAGAGGGCCAGGTGGAACTGCCCAGTGTGTGCCACAGCCCTGCTTGCTGTCTTCTCCATGTCAGAAGCCAGCTGGGAAATCAGGTCCTCAGACCATGCAGAGACCAGGGGATTTTGCCGATATTTGGACTGGATCGTCCTGTAGTCACTTGGCATCAGCTTGTTTGGGTTCAGCAGCTCCACTGGCTCTGCCAGTGTGAATGCCACTTCCCCACTCAGCATTTCAAAGTCTAAGAGGTTCTGGTTCTCCACACCCCCAGGGTACAGGCGCAGGGGCTGGTGGGAAATGCTGTCCAGCAGGGGTGTCCAGAATGCCCAGGAGGCCAGCAGGTTCTCAGTGGTAATGAAGAAGTCCTTCCTGCCATGGTAGATGTTGGAGATGAGGACAGAATATGCATCTCTCTCTTTCACAGGGCTGTACACATAGTAATCAGACAATGGTTGTCCAAAAATATGCAGGTCTGACTGACCCAGTATTTCTCTCCAAGTGCCTTCTGGCATGACAGGCCTGAAGAGGTTCCTGCTCACCAGCACCGCGGGGATGTTGAGGGGACCATGCCCAATGTAGAAGATGATCTGCTTGGCTTTACACTGGCTGTGCCCGGCGTCCCTCAGAGTCTCTCTCTGAGCACAGTAGGCCCGGTTCTTGAAGAGAACACGGACATAACCTACCCGTTCATCCAGAGCTTTCCCAGAAGTGAGGAGGAAAGGGACTCCTTCCCAACGCAGGTTATCACTGTGAATCAGCACACCTGGAAGGACAGTGAGCTCATCTACCAAATTGAAACTGAACAGGAAGTAGATCTAAGGGGGTCTCTATCACCCACCCATCATTCTTCTTTCTTAGCTCCCAGAAACCTTGGCATCCTCTGCCTCTTGCTCCACATTGAGCCCTTTCATAACATTACTGGACTTACTGCTCTCCAGCTACCCTGCTGTGCTTCCTCCCAGGTATCCTACTTCATTAGCCTCCTTTCATCTTGCAGGAAACCAGTTTCTGAGCACAATTATCGGTCAGATGTGGCCTTGCAGTCTGTGAATCACAGAGAACTGCCAATGCTTTACCCTCAGATGCAGGGAACATCTTGACTTTATGAAAAGGGAAAGGGGTTTGAAGGCCACTTGTAAAAATAACTCGGAGATCTCGGAGATGAATAATGGGACTGAGGTCTTGGGCAATGCTTCCCATTCACAGGATTGTTAGTTAACTAACATGACAACAGTATTTTCTTGCTACAGCTCCCAGTTACCATGCCTGTGGATGCCTGGAGATATCCCTGTGTCAGCAGTGGGGTCCACAGTCATGGAGCTGGTATCAGCATGCAAGGACTCAACTCCTACTCTCCTCAGTTCCAGACTACTTCCCTCTCCAGGGCCCAGACCAAACCCTCACCTGCAAAGGTTGGTGTTGTGCTTATGTAGTCTTGTGCCTTCTGCAGTTCCTCCTGTACTTGGCTGGCATATGCCTGATACTGACCCAACACAGCACTGTTTTTCTCCAGGCCCTGCAAGGACTGGAAGGCCTGCAGCTTGCACTGCAAAACCTCTTCAGTCCTGCTCACATTGGCTGGGAGCTCCATGGTCAGGAACATCAGGGCCTCTGTGAGGTGGTTCTGAAGCACATCCCGGATGACTCCATACTGCTCATAGAAGCTGGTGCGGCCTGGGGACAAAGAGGAGGTAAGAAACTGGTAAACTGATGTGGTTTCCTCCCAGCCTCCTCTGCATGTATGATGTGTGTGCCAAGGAGAACAAAGAGCACAAGCCCTAACTGGTTTGCACCATGCTCATCTTCTCCTGGCTTAACAATTAACTCGAAGCCACAAAATTCAGAGAAGCTGTACATGTCCCACCACTGGACATTTTCAAGGTCTGGTTAGACAAAGCTTTGAGCAATCTGACCTAATGAAAGATGCCCCTGCCCATTGCAGGGGGGTTGGACTACACCTTCAAAGGTCCCTTCCAAGCCAAACCATTCTACAACTCTTGATTCTAAGCCCTTCCTCTCCCCCAGAAGGGCTTCCAAAATGTCTCTGCTACTGAAAGATACAAGGTTTCCACAGGACTGACTGTCCTCCACAGAGCCAGACATAATCCTGCTTTTTTGATGCCTAAACGCAGCAGGAGTAATGCTCTTACCTGATACTTCCTGAGTGCACTGAGCAGAAGGCAACTTTGCTTTCTTGAACTCCTTGTGCTTTTCAGAAGCTGCAGTTGCTGACTGGCAGCAATATCCAGCTCACACCTCCCATGTACAGCACAATGCAGGGCCCCTATATAACCCTTGTTGTGACACTCTGTTCCCCAGGTCACAGGGACTCCACATGCAGTTCTACACAGAAGCTCTGACAAAGTAGCTGGAGAGTAGTCAGAGCAGGGACCCCAGCAGCCCTACAGCTACACACCAGGTCCACAGAACAGCTGAAGCTGGGCCCTGGCAAAAACCACTATTCACTGCCTCTTTTTCCGTAGTTTGCATGTCCTCAGAAGGCTCTGGCTGAGCCATGCCCTTGAGAGACAAAATTTCACATACAAAGCCTTGCTTCCCTTTCCCTGCCAGACTTCTCATGCAGGTGGGAGCAGAGGGAGAAGGAATTATACTTATAAAGAAAGTGACTCAAACAGACTCCTGCTTCTGTGCAGTCCAGCAGCAGCAGGCTGCACAATACAGACTACACCACAGTCATAGGCTTCCCATATTGACTGATACATTCACCTCCCTTGCCCTAATCCAAAGGCACATTAATTAATGTAATCAATGCTGCAGACTTGCTGGGAGCCAGCCTGCCAGCTGAAGCCAGAGGGGAAAAAAAAAAAGACATCAAATGAAAAATTACAAAGTTGTTCAGAGCAGGGAGGGTACCGGGTGTAGCTGGAGCTCTGCACAGACAACTCTTCTCCCTAAACCTCTCTGCAGTGCATCCCTCTCTCACAAACAGGCCCAGGCGAGGTCTGGGCTGCCAAACCAAAGATTACTCCAAGTTTAAGAAAGTTGCATTAATTGAGTTTGTGGTGGCTGAGGAAGGGAGGGAAGAGGAAGATAGAGAGGAGGTAAAGAAAGTGGAGAAGCAATCCTGATGTTGCAGAACTGCAGGCACCTGACAGCCCAAGAAGTGCTGTGGGTGGCAGTCTAGCCCAGAGTGCTTTCTGCTGAGCACTGCAGAGCGGCTGCTGCAGCACTGCAGGGAGGGATTGCAGCCGTGTCCTTCAGCAGGGGACCTATGCTAGCAACCCTGGGCTCTGCAATGCTCTTTCTTACCACAGAGAGGAAGGGAGAAAAGCAGGCAAACACAGACGCAGGTCGACTCACTGATACAAGTAACATCCAGATAAAAGATGCAAGAACATATTCTAAAGATTAGTACAAACATACTCTCAGGGTGAGCTTGGTTTCTGCCAGGACAGGAATGCAAAAGGGCTGTTGTTACAACCACCAGATTATTGCAGCATTGAACTGAAGTGGCTTTAGACTGCACCAATCCCAAACCCAGTGCCTTTTACCAAGATCTGGGATAGAAAGCTAGATGGAATGCCCCCAAAGCTCTGCAACAGAAAAAGGTGGGGGATTTTGCTCACGCTCCCAGCTGAACTGCAATGGGAATCTTTTCTTCAAGGCAGCAACACTACCTGGAAGTGCAAGACACTCCCTCTCTTTCTCCAAAGAGCAACATAGCATTCATCTGCTCTTGTTTCTGCACCAGCACCACCCGGAGAACCATTTTCACATAATTCATGAGCCAGCGAGTTCTCCTTTTCACTCATTCACTGTAGCTCTGCACACTTGCCTCACCAACCTTTAGCATCCACAGTTTCTTTCAAGACAATCTCCACTCTTTC